AAAGTACTTTAAACTGTATAAATAATGTAAAATTAATTTGATTTAAACTGCCAATCATACGAATGTCTGCCTATGAGCTAATGGCTCTTATTATTTGTGTAAACACGTAAATGATATCTAAAAACATGAGACAATTTATCTGTCTCGTTGAAATCAAATTTAATTTTAACCCAATTTAGATTCAAGTTTATATATCACGTTTCAAAGGTATTAAAGAATATTAAAGGATTATTGTTTTTCTTAACCTAAATTTCAACTTTAATTTTAACATGTTATCATTACAAATAACAAATTGCGAAGGATCCTTGAGTAACAAGCAAATGAGTACAAAAAATAAGTTCAAGAAAAATAATGAAATAAGTATATGTCTAGAAGACACAAAGTCTGTTAAAACGTCCAATCAAAATCCAAAGACACGTTACACAACATACTCCTGCACTTTTGCTTCTAGCATAATCAGATTCTGATAACCTAATATATATATAAAAAAAATCAACAAAAAATAAATCCGTAAAATTCAATGATGAAAAAAATTAAACAAATGATTTTACGGTAAAGATCTCTAATATTTCAATGGCAAATTTAGTGTTTGAAGAGTTTAAAATCTTCTTTTCATAAGAATTTTGTGCGCAGAGTCCACTCAACCCATTCAATCCATTCTCATACTTTACTACCAAATCAGAATTTCCAAAATTAATCCAAGATCCACTATAATTAAGTATTGCCTGTGAGGAAATTTTAACACGACTAAGTATATGATTATTATCTTCAAAGCAAAAGATAAAACTGTAAAATTTATAATAATAATAAAATAATTAATATGAAATATAAAGCATATCATAAAAATTAATAAATGTAAATAATAATAATAATACTAATAATAATAACCTATCATTAGTTTGTTCCCATTGTGCTCGAGGGATACGATATTTGACTTTTAAACCTAAAGGATTATATCCACCAATTATTTTTGTTGAATTTGAGGCTTTAATTAATATAAGGACTGCGCTAACGCGATCACCACAACTCTCGATAAAATTACTGAGATTAAACTCCCCATGTGTTGCTTTATAGATAGGTTCGAATTGATAAGAAGGTTTTTTGATAAAGAAATCTCTTTTTTCAATCCAATTGGTAATAACGGCAGCTTTATATTTATCAATTAGAACAGAATCTATACGGAGAGGTCCACAACGCGGACGAAGTATAGGATTTCTTTTGGTTATGAAATAATCTTCTAAACTTCCATAAAGATCACCAGATATAAATGCACGATTTGGTCTAACATATTCATAAAATTCTAGACCGGACATCTCATGAAATCTAATATGTGGTATAAAGGGATCTAACAATCCTTTAAAGCATATATAATCATCTACCATATTATCAGAATTAACATCATGAGAAGCCTTTGCCCATTTTAATAAAAAATTCCAAATATCAATTTCTTTAGCATTTAAAAAATCATTCTGAATAAATTCCAAAAAAATATCTTTATCTAAATTTAATAAATCCTCGGAATTAAAGAATGGCTTTGGATCGAGATATAAAGATATTTTAAGATGTTGATGAAGTTTTTCACAGCTTTGGTGCTTGTTGACGATGTGTAAAGTAGAGGTAAAATTTTCTCGTAACCAAGAGGATTCTTTTTTAATAAGCTAAATTAATATAAGTCTTATATATATATTTTTTAATTCATAAAAATAAGTGAACTTTAAGTATATCAAATGTATATTGTCTTACATATTCTTGGCTACATTGAATTAACTCATCTAAAGTTAATTCATCAGAAGCAATAAGAAGAGCCAAGATATTTGAAGGTGATTGATCAGTTAAGTCAAGGACTCCCGTATAGATATATCTTTAAATTTATAAATTTAATTAGTTAAAAATTTTAATGAAAGAATTTAAGGCAAATAATTTCATTAATGTAAACATACTGAAGAATTAAACGAAATGTAATAGGTGCTATATTTGTTTTGACAAAAGTGATTTTGCCATCATCGTTACAATTTGCCCATCTTTCAGATAAAGCAGTTTTAAAGTAAGAAGATCTAGCACATAAAATATTAGAATGGGCATTAAAGATTTCAATCTCAGGATCTTTTCCAACTTGAATCAAAACATTATAATCATTGGAATTATGAAGGAGTTGGTAAAGATCTTTTCGAAGGTTCTCAGAGTAAGTAAAAAAAGTCATAATTGCATCGATAATTCTTTGAATGAGCTATATATATTATTCGTTATCTAGAATATCTAGGATATATCCGCTCTAAAGTTTTTTATGGATAGTGTTTACGGACAGTACTAACAATTTGCACTGTGATAACGATATGATCAGGTTATGATCAAGAATACCGTTTTTTGCAGATCTTGATGTGTTTATAACGATAACAGATAATAATAAGATGACATCAGCACAATTCAAATATATTGATCGTATGCGTTAATATAATAGTTTTATGGTTATTGAATAAGTCGTGATATTTTCTTGCGTAATTCAATCATTATCATTTAATCCCTGCTTTATGTTATTCTCTCTTATCCTTACTCTATGTAGTGATACGATCTGACCCCGGCCCATCGAGGGTCGAGGGTCGTCGACTCGCACCTTCGTGGGCAGCCCAGCCGATGTATAGTTAAATTTTCTTTGGCCAATAGAAATGCATGAAAGAATAAAACAAAGTAATATAAATGTGGTTATATGTGATTTTTGTTATTCGATAAATTTGATGCTAGGGTTTTTTAATTTATATATTCGGTGCGGGAACATTTTATTTTAAAAAAATTGTGAACGATGATTTCCATATACCCATGGAAATCAGGAGATTGAATGGTGAACATTATTCAGAATCCGCGGCTATAATATTGAAAATCACGTGATCTTCATGGCAATGATTGGCCAAATAATAATTTCTTTCAACGTCATCTTTTTGTTATTGTGCGATGATTTTTTTTTTTATAAATTTATTGCGATTTACAGAATAGAAGTTGTAGATTTCAGTTTTTGATTTAGTATTATAAATGATTTTTTTTAAAAAAATGTATACTAAATAATATGGGTGATTCCAGACCAAAATGTAATTACGTCATATATATAATTGGTCCAGGTTAGAGTTTAGAACCGAATTCGGTCTTCGATTTTAAACCCGATTTTATTCGATTCGAATTTGAATTCGAATATGAAATTCATTTAATACGAAGGCTGGTTTTAATAAAACCGGAGATATTCGGATTTATACAATACAATAAGATAAAATTCGGTCAATTGGTTTTATAAGAAATTATAAAAGTATCATGACGTACTGAGAGTTTAATCAAACATCTAATATGCTGCGTAATATATGATTTTTATAACCATAAAATCGGATATAATAAACCGGTTAAACCGAAGAAACCAAATATATTAAAACCGGATGCTTAAAACAAATCCAGTTCCAAACTCTAGTCTAGGTTCAAAACTAATTGCCATATATATACAGTATATTATATATATTAGTGATATGGCCCATAACAAAACTGGGCCGGGGCTGGCACTAATATAGTGCGGCCCGGTCGACCGGGCCGACTATTTTTACAAAAAAAAAAAACCAGCCAATAAAATCACAGGATTCAATGTTATATAACAGATAAGCCACGTAATCTGTTTTATAACCTTTTCATTTTTGGTGTCTAACTAAATTAATATCGTGATTGTTAAAGTCCACAGTATGAAACGTGCGATAATGTAATGCATGCTCTCATTAATTAAAATGTTTAGCGCGAAGCACCTATTTTAAGAAGAATCTCGGTTAGATCATAAAGTAGTATAGTCATAGTGATCTTTCATTAAGTCCACGCTCGCTATTACAGCCCATTATAAGTTTTGTACCATTCAAAATTTCAAGTATTGGTTAATATTTATTATACGTTGCTCTCCCGAACCAAATGATACAATATGTAATTTATAACGGTTTGCTAATTTAGGAAAATGCGGAAGCAAGCAGATAGGTATACACTTACTTTTGTTATAGTGAAGCCCCGGGGCTGAGAAAAATCTTCACTATAGCTTATATCGAGAGAATACTATATGTATTCACTATATCAAATTGAAGTTTAATAATTCCGGAATTCAAAAATTCTTCATTATATCGAATCTTCACTATAACGAGAGTTCACTATAACTAGAGCTCACTATAACGAGAGTGAGTTGTAGTTTGTAAAATTTATGAATCTATGCAAGTCTAACAAGTTAAAATAAACAATTTAAAAAATCAAAATTTTTAATTAGATATTTGCTTACAAATATTTGTTTATTAGCTATTGTAGATGCCAATAAATCTAAAAATAATAATGCTTTAATTCTCAATTTTATGATGCGTTTTGTAGTTTTATACAACATAATAATACCACTAACATTATTGTAAAATTTAAAAATTTAGTTTACCTTAATCAGCCCCGGTCCATGAAGTTACGGGTCGGCCCTCGGCCCGGCTGATAGGGTCGAGGTCTGCCCATATCACTACGGCTAACACTAACAGTATATTTATTTTAAAAAATTTTTCTAGAGTATATAACTTGTCGATTAATCTATTAGCCGATTAATCTATTATTTTTCCTGATTAGAATGGATTATATTAATCATTTTGAATGATCTTAAAATTTGTCAATTTACTATAATAGGTTAGGATGAACCTGCGTAAAACCCGTTTTGATCGTCAGGTTAAGGTAAAGTACGCGTAACATTTATTTTATTTTTTTATCGTTATGTTAACGCGGGATTTCACCCTCGTATGATCTTCATAGAGGGTTTAGCCAGAATTTATAACGGGTTTCACCCTGTCGTAAGATTATTATAAACAAAAATCTACAGTACTCTCAACTGCCTATGAAGCAGTATCTCTATTTAATATAAAATTAGAAATGTTAATCGACTCAACCAGTTAATCGAACAAGCCGATTAACATTCTTAATAAAAATGGAAGAGATAATGAACTCTTTTTCGAAACATTGTATATCTAAAGCATCATATTCAAATTCTAACCAATTAAATTAAAAATTTGGATGATATTAAAGAAAGAATGGAAAAATTTGGATAACTTCAGTTTAATCGACTGACTGATTCGATTCTTGACCTCCATCACTACAGTATTTTCTCTATTAATCAGACGATTATTACAAATTAGTTGACAGACCGGTTTATTCTTGATTCCATCACTATTGAAGCAAGATTTCTAATTAAACATTATTATCAATGAAATTAGTGATATCATACGTACTATATTTAATTCGTAAAAAAGGTTACAATTTTATGATATATATTTACACTTAAAGTTTCATTACTACATTAACATAAACATTTAACCTATGTGTACGTACGTACAAGATCTACGCGTTTTAAAACAAGTTTGTGAATCCTAAAAAAAGCTAAGATTTTTGTTAGTATACATATGATTCCATAAATTCGGTTCAATACATCTAACCTATTTTCGGCGATATCAATTGTTGTAAAAAAATTTTATATGGTAAAAAGAATGCAATGTGAATTTTAGAGTTTTTGCTTCGTTATTACTGAATTTATACAGATTAAGAAACAAAAAATAAATAAATTATGTCAAAATTTTCACGCAGTACGTATCGGTTTAAACTTATAGATAAATATTTGATATATAATTCGTTGAGCACCAATAATTCGTCAGATTCATACAGTAGAAATTATATACCAAATATATAAGGAACTTTTTAGTGTTGGACAGTTTTTGGCATGGTACGTACGTTTCTTATTGGTATTTCTTCTATTGTGCATCATTTTTTATTGGTCACAAATAAGTGATGCAAAGAAAGACCTGCATTCCATGTTTGAATTTATCACCTTACTAGATCCGGGTATCCTAAAAAGAAGTAAGTGACGCCAAGAATTTATCACCTTATAAAGATTTGGTATCCTAAAAAGATTAGAGAATAAAGCAAATAAAGCAAATAAAAGCAAATATGGTGATAAATTCAAAAATTTAATTCCTTGGTATCACTTAAAAGTAATAAAAATCATTTAAGGAAAACAAAAATTTTTCGATTGTTCTATAATAATGCCTAACATATAACAAAAAATATAAACAAAGTACGTATAACATTACTCACTTATACATTCTTTGCATATATTTTTATGCATCCTTTATGCATCTTGCTTAATTTAAGTTAAGCCTACCTTTTCGTCACACGTCTTCATTCCTTCATTTCATCGAACTATTTTTACTTTTACTATTCACTCTAAGACCTTTTTTGAACTCTCGTGAGGCAAGCCCGTCACGTAGGGACTTAAATCAAATCCATATTAACGGTTTCTGAGAGAATAATAAAAGTCTAAATAGGAAGTCGGTTAAAATATTTAAACCATTTTTTTTAAAAAAAATCCTAAAACGAAAAAAAAAAAAAATGTCTCACGTTAATTCAATCGTTTCAAAATTTGAGGAAAATAAATTTGCTCCTAAGAAAGACAAAAGCAACATTCCTTTAAGCAAAGTAAATACAAATAAACCTCCAAATGCTAAATCATCTGAGATGATTTCTTTGGTATCAAGGATTCAAGCTTTAGAAGCTGGATCAAAACATAAACATGGTTTAGATAAAAAAATCGACACTTCTCTAACTACAATAAGTGAACGAAAAAAATCTCCTATCCCTACTAATATCGCTACCACTAATATCTCTTCCACCACTACTACCGATGTCACCACTACCACTACTAAAACCGATGTCTCCGATACCACCACTACTACTACTACTAGTCTTAATGAAGATGAAAATTTAATGAAAGACGAAAATAATGATAATACTTCAAAGGATGAAGATTTAATGAACGACGAAAATAATGATAATACTTCAAAGGATGAAGATTTAATGAAAGACGAAAATAATGATAATACTTCAAAGGATGAAGATTTAATGAAAGACGAAAATAATGATAATACTTCAAAAGATGCAAGTAAAACTTTTAGTATTGCTAGTACTTGCGTTTCAACTCCTGTTGATGTAGTTGATAATTCAAAAGCTGAAGTTTTGGAACCTATTGATGCTCAACCTAATACTACAACAACTCAAAATGACCTTCCAAAAAAAGATATTGAAATGAATCAAACAACTAAAATATCTTCATTTGAACAACAATATAAAGATCATTTGAAAAATTTGGATCTTGAACATGAAAAGTTATTATCACAACAAAAGCAAGAATACGAAAAAATAATACAAAATTTAAAAATTGATTTAGAAAAAGCTAAATCTGATAATAATAAATTATCTGTAAATGAAAATAACGGTCGATTAGGTAATGAATCCCCTTTAGAATTATCTTCTATTTATGAAGCTCATAAAGAAAGATTAATAAAAGAAATTCAAACGATAAAATCATTAAAAGAACAAGCTGAAGATAATTTACTTGCAAATAATCGTCAAATAAATGATCAAAAAATAGCTATTAAAAAATATTATGAAAGAGAAATTGAAAAAATTCGTATAGAACATGCTCAACAAATGGATTCTTTACGTAAAGGTGATATTCAAACTACTTTTGATCAAATTCGTCGACATCATGAAAGGCAAAAAAAAGATTCTGAATTACAATTAAATGCTCATATTAAAGAACTTTTAATTAAATTAAAAGAAAAAGAAAATAGGGAAGTCGCTTGGATTCAATATCAACGTGATAATGATGAATTATTTAAACAACTTGAATTTCTTGATAAAACTGTTCAAGAAAAAAATGAAGCTGAAGCTGAAATAGCTTATCTTCAACAAGAATTAGCTCGTTCACAACAAGAAGTAAAAACTTTAACTCGTGCAAGAGAGAATACAAATAAGATGATAGGAATGTTTCAACAAAAAATTGAAGATACTATAAGTAATTTAAGTACTCAATTAAATGAAAAGCAAAAACAAGTTAATGAATCTGCTGCAACGATAGAATCTCTTCGTAAACAAGTCAAAGAACATGATTCAAGACATAAACGTCTCGCTTCAGAAAGTAATAGCTTATCATTTAAAAATAATGAAGTTCTACAAATTTATGAAGCTATGGAAGAAACTGCTAATCAATTATCTGAAATGGAATCTAAATACGCTAAATTAAATTCTGAACATCAACAAGTTACTCTCGAGAATCAACGTTTATTAACTGACTTATCAAGTTTTTCCCTTAAATTACAAGATCTTCAAAGTAAAAATGATGAATGGGAAAAGAAATATCAAGATATGATTGTTCAAAGAGATCAATTAAACAATGAGCTTTCGGATCTTAAATTATTTAATTCTAATAAGACAAAAGATTTAAAAGATTTAACTGATGATATAGTTAAACTTAAAAATCAAAATGAATCTTTGAAAGAGATTACTGATGAAATACAAGTTGAAAAGGAATCTTGGCAACAAAAAGAATCTGATCTTATTAAAATGCACGAGGTTGAATTGAAAAATAAAGACGAAAAGATTGGTGAAATTTCCAAAGAATTAGAAAATGCTCATAAACAATCTGATGAACTTAAAGAACAAATAAAAGTAATTAATAACAACTTATCTAATCTCGAAAAGAAAAAAGATGCCCTATCTGAACTTTTAGAAAAACAACAGACTGATATACAAGGTTATATGAATGATTTAATATCCGAAAGAGAAGCTTGGAATCGAAAAGAAGCGGATATTATTTCGAATTATGAGAATAGATTAGGTCGTTTAGTACAAGAATTACGTGATACTGAAAATGCTGCTACACAAGTTCACCTTCAAGCAAACTCGAAAATGAAAAATATTCAGAGTAAACATGATAAATCTACAAACGAAATTGAAGAATTACAAAATAAATTAACCGAACTTTCACAATTACTTGATGAAAAAAATGCTGAATTAATGAAGCATGACCAAGAAAAAGAAGAATTATTGAAAGTTCATGAAGATAATATTTCATCACTTAAACAGCAGCAAGAAGAAGAAGTCACTAAATTAACAGAATTGATGGAAATACTAGAGAAAAAACAACGTGCCATAAAAAATACTGCTGAAACTCACCGCCTAAGTACTCGTCGAAGCAATGCTGAAGCAAAGAAAATTGTAGCTTTAGAACAACGCGTGATGGATTTGGAACAAACATTGAAAGTATCAAATATAGAATGTGAAAGATTGTATATGGAACGTGAAAAATTGAATGAAAAGGTGTTGGAACTTAAAAGTAAATATGCAGGCACAATAGTAAATAATATTTAAGTTATTCTCATAAAACTAGAATCTCAAGGGAATGAGTTGAAGAGATAATTATACCTTGAACACTCTATTAATCCATCAACTATTGCAAATCTAGAGCCGGGAACTGTCAATTTTTTAAGTTATGTATATATATATATGTATATATTATATATACATACATAAATACTTTTATTTAATTACTTTTAATTGTTAATATATATATTTGAAAGTTTATGTTAGTGGCATGGATATTTATATATATACCGTATTATGAAATATAAAAAAAATAAATAAAATTTTGGTTAATTTTAAAATATTAATATGGTACTCTTATTCATCCAATTGTATTTATTAATTTTCTATTTTGTTGGAATTATTCGCATTGATTTATACATACGTCACCTCGTTTTATAACATGTAGTAATCAAATAATCTTTACACGTACTGCAATTGATTATATTTAATTCTATATTAACTAAAATCGAGGTCGTTTAAAGCCAGGTACGTAGTTTTTAAATTGATTACTACCAAATTTTGTAAATTAAAATCACGTGACACATGTAAATTACTATTATCGATACCCAAAATCGCTAAAAAAAAAAATCATAGTCTAAATGTATACCTGTATACGTACGTACCATCGAAAAAAAGCATTTATCCGTTATCTGGTAGTATCAACCAATCAAATATTGGAAAATTAACCGTCTAAATGCATATCGATATTACCATTATTAATTTTTTTTTCATTTAGGCATATATATTCATAAGCAGTTTCGTAAAGGTTTCAAAAGCGTTTCAAAAGCAATTCATGATAGTGATTAAGAAACAATCTACCAATCGAATATAATTATACCATTCAAATTTATTACGTACATTTTATGTTTTAGTCCTGTAATTTCATAATATCACATAAATAATGAAATATCGTTATCGTTATACGTATAATTTTTAATAATCACAATTTCGCTCATAAGATTGGTTAGGGTTGGTGATAAATTTATGGTAATATTATATCAAACATCTGAGAAACTTTCAACCGTTGGAATCTAGCTGAGCGAAGAACTAATGATTGAGCCCGAATTGCCTCTTCTTTATTGCAATGGTTCCTTTATAGTTTCACACTATTGGTAGATACATTATGAATGCATCCGCTATGTTTAGTATATACATGCTATATATGGTATATATCGCTATGCGCTATGAGTGCCAAGGGAAAACCTGTCATCCGTCTATGGAAAATCTATCGTAATAATAGATTTTTCATAGATAGCTAACTGTACACAAAATATAATTGAATGTCCGATGACAGGTTTTCCCTTGGCGGCACTCATATGTGTTGTAGTGCCGAGTCACTTCGACAACGGTACCTGATACTTATGCAAAATTTTATGTAGTTTAACGTAACAATGCAGTGTGGCGTAAAAATATTCAGACACACGAATTCGGGTACACTCTCAATATATACCTTCGTGCGCTCCGTTCCCGGTGCACTCCATTCCTAGTAAACCATCATATTCTTAAATTAATAAAAGCCTTCAAATTAAAAGAAAAGAAATGAACGAGTTCACATCCTTAACAGAAAATACATCAAGAATTGAGCAAAAAAAGACAGATGATAACTATTTGAGTTTATTAAAAACAGTTCCGAGAAGAGATACATATTTTGTTCTGTCTCCGAAACAATTGGAAAGATTAAAACTGATTTCTGAAGCCGTTTTTAAATTAGCTAATGAAACTTTATTAGAAATCATAAAGCAAAATGAAGTAGAATCATGGATGGAATCAAACTATGATGTTGTTAAATCACTTTGGAAAAACGGTCAAACTGGAATAAATTTAATGAGAATTGATTTTGCTTGGGATCAAGAAAATAACTTTAAAATATTAGAATTGAATACTGCACATCAAGTCGGTTGGATAATAACAAGTTTGGTTGAGAAAGAAGCATCAGTTGATAAAATCGGTACTCCTCTTGCTCCTCAACCAATGTTTTTGGCAAATTACGTGTTTAAAAAGTTAGGTCCAAAAATAGCCATTATTATTTTAAATCAATATATAGAATATGATTTATTAGCAAGACAAATTGAGAGTTTGGGTGGAAAAGCTAAAATCATCTATCTTTCAGAAGGTGCCTTCCAAGATATTATCGATTTTGCACCCACTGGATTATTTTGGAGGAGCTACCCAGGATTAATAGAACGTTCAGAACTGGTACTCAGACTATCCAGCTTAAAAATACCACAAATACCTCCGTTTGAAAGTATATTTATATCTGGTGACAAATCATTTTTAGCCATCTTAAGTGAAAGAGATGTAACTGGTGCTATTCCTAAAACTTATGTATTATCAAAAAGTGATTTGAAAAAAAATCTTAATTTTTTAGAACAACATAAAGCAGTTCTCAAAGCAGGTGAATCAGCTGGGGGTAAAGAAGTTATAATCGGAAAAAATTTTAAAAATAATTGGGAGGACAAATTAAAAGAGATTATGAATTCTGATAAAGAATGGATAATTCAAGAACTTTGTTATTTACAAAATGTCGAAGATAATAGATATGAAGATATTTCAGTTTTTGTTGCTGATGGCATTGTTCAGGGCTTTATGTCTAGAAATTCTGATAATGAAATAGTAAATGTCAAGCAAGGTGGATTTTACCAATCTGTCATTTTGAAGCATGATAATTAAAATTTTTATATCGCTGATTTTATAGTTTAGCATGTTGTGTTTAAAAATTTGTCTAATTTGCTATGGATAATTATTTTATTGTATAAAAAATATTTTGATACAGTATCTCTAAGATTATTTTACGTGCTTTTCAAGCCTAGTTATTACAAAAAAAAAGGTTAAATAGTGTGTATAAGATTGTGATTAGTAGATTGTAATATTAAAGTGATTTGTAAGTAGAATAATTTTGAAAACCATAGTATATTTGTTAGATTTATCAATTGAGAATAAGGGTTAGTAAAATATTAGTTGTAAATTACGGATTATTTTAGAATTGTTGTAGGTAAATATTTGCTAAACTTTTTAAGCATTATTCCTAAAACCAACAGTAATAAGTAACATTCAAGCAAAAAATAATAAAATAATTGCAAAAATTATTATCCCTTAAACCGTTTGAAATTCAGGGCAAATTTGCCCTGAAATTTTCCGAATCATATGTACTATAACCGTGTGCACAAAATAATAGCAAACATGATAATAACTTTATACCACAATATAAAAAACAATATAAAAATAATATTTATTTTATTATTTATGTTCATGGTACTCAATAAAACAATCTGGACGTTGTATATTGAGACATAAAGGCACATTACATACTGTGCACCACACCTGACTCTGTGGTGAATTTTTATTGTGTTTTCCTTGTTCAGTCATATTTTTAAAGCGGCACCAAACACAGGAACCCCTCTCTTTCTCAGAACGATATATTGGGTAGTGATTTTGTGGGTGTAAACGTTCGATGGGTAAGTCAAATTTTTTTGTAACATAAAATGATCTTTGTAAATTTTGATCATCCTGTAATCCTGATCGAATTGTTGCTATTTTTTCCGTGTATGTAAATTTTGACTCATTTCAATTGATTCCTCCACCAAATTCCATACTAAATTTATCCGAAAGTCTTTGTGTACTTTTACCAAATTAAGCTTCTTGGAAATTATTAACGATGCTGGTATCCAGGAGCCAAAAAAATAATGGCATCCAAGTGCGACGTACTGGAACTTGTACACCATAATAGCCCCTTAATTGGTCAGCTATGTCAACACCACCCATATGATAGTTGTAATCATCTATTACAGCAGGTATGGGAAGAACTTTCTTACTTGCATTACCAAATACACTTCGTACTTTTACAGCATTTGTACTAGTTGTTCGCAGCCTTCTTCTTTCTCTTTCTACGTGATTTTCATCACCTAAAATTTAATGTATGGTTGTTAACATAGTTACTGGCCTGTTATCCATCCAAAACACAACCAAAACATCGTCTACAACAACACCAGAAAGAGTATTCCACTCTAATTTTTGCGATTTTTTTATTTTTAAGCAAGTAGGAAACTTTGATGTATTTGTTCTTATTGTTCCGCAACTACCATACCCATTTTTTCGCATATGACTAAATAAATTAATACTAGTAAAAAAATTATCCATATAAATATTAAACGTTTTGTTATTTGGAAGCTGAGATATCAAATGATAAACTTGCCACCCGATTTTATTAACATTTGGGATCGAATTAATTTCAGAGTTAGATTTTACAGATTCAATACAGGAGTAAAAACAAAACAATATGTGTATCCCGAATCACAAAGCAAAAGTATTTTGTATCCTTCTGGCATGGGTTTATTTTTAATTCACACTGTATGACTACTTCTCCCTCAAAATCTGGCAACCATTTCGTCGATTGAAACTTGCGATTTTGGTAAATATATTAATTTAGAAACTTTAAGGATATGTGTAGATAACAGTTCAACTTTTGAATACTATGGTAATTGAAATGACTTTGTTTCAATATTCGCAATATGAAGGTATCGCTTTATCTTTATTTTTTTTTAAAAAAAAAACTTAAATTAAAAATAAAATCGAATAAAATTAAAAATAACTAAAAATAAACATAACTTGTTCAAACCGAACTAAAGTCATATATTTGGTAACTCTATATTGCAGATATTTTCAATCTGTTTTCCAATAATCTTTCCTACTCAGCAACTTAAAAACACCCATGTAAATTATCAAAGCAAACCAAATTAATAATTCTTCAATTGTCAAAGAAATCCATTCATGCCTTTACTAGCCAATTTTGCAATTGCATAATAATTTGTATTTTTAACAATATTATTTAATTGTAAATCAGAAAAAATAAACGAAAAATCAAATATGGAGTAATTTCACCAACTGCTAATTTGTCAGCTACTTTTACTTGAGAAGTATGGTAAGGTTTATCATGTTAAAATTTTTGAAATAACGGTGCTAATGGTAAATCAAACAAATTCGATTGAGATGCTTTTTTTTTTTTTTTTTTTTGTATGACTATTTTTATTATTATTATTTTTTTCTTATTTTTAATGTTTATAGTCTCCTCTTCAGTTTCATCATTAGTATTTTCTTCAGTTTCATCGAAAATTTTATCTTCATCACTAACATGATTAGTAAGATTTCTAACTTCATTTTCGATTTCATTTTCAATATTTCAAATAAGCTTAATATTTAAAAAAAAAATAGTAAAGTGGTATGTAAAAAAAAAAGTAAAAAAAAATTTGCAACGATCGTGATCGACAAAGCTAATATATGTAATAGAAAACAATCAAACAATAGGCCAAAAAAAAAGAACAATATGTTTATATAACACTAAAAATAAATGAATTTCCAAATAAATAAAAACCAGAATTTCTGATTAGATAAGTAAAACTTTAATTTTTACTGTAATACAAGTACTACATAGATTGACAAATCAAATTTCAAAATTTCAGAGCAAATTTGCAGGAGAAATGGTTTAAGGGATATAAAATAAAAGATAGATTACCTTAACTCTAAAAAAAAAAAATTTAACTATAGCTTTTTTTTATAAATACCAAAATTTTAAATAAAGTTACTTTAGGCCAGGCAAAGTTAATTTTTTGGTTCTCATAACCTGGCTGGGCCATTGAGCCCAGAAAGAAGAATTTAAATTTATAAGGCACAATATTTAAATTGACTAATCAGAATTGTATATACTTAATACTGATATTTTGAATTGAAGTAGAAAGGTATTAGCAAAAAAGCACATGCTAACTCATGTTCTAATAAACTTGAATCGGAGAGTGAAAAGGTCTTAGCAAGTATATCTTGCAAGAGCAAAAGAAGAAAAAGTATTAATAGACATGCTTACAAGTACACTTTTCTGGCTTCTGAGTCTTATAATATGAATACAGATTAAAAGAATGAAAACATTAATTGATGTATATTGTTAAAACAATTCCTAAAAGAGTTGAATCTTTGAGATATATCTGATCCAGTTAAAACTAGTGATGCAAATGACTTGGCTTGACTAATGGCTAACACTAATCAAGCCGAGTTAATCTTTTAGCTCATCAAGCTATTTACAAGCTGATCAATCTCAAGCCAAACTGAGCCATTACTCTAATATATAGATTTCCTCAATTTTATGCAATTGAATTTATATTGTAAGAGGTGTGGCAACTTAGTGTAGTGGTCTAGTCGTTACTCTCTCCAAGTGGCAGGTCTAGAGTTCAAATCCCACAGATGATGATATTTGAAAAATAGGCTTGTGTTTCGGTTAATGGCTATGCTTATCGGTTGGATCTAGAACTAAAATCTGTAACTTCAGTCACACTATCTAGAAATGGAAGCTTTGGCGCAATAAATCTGAGGAACCAGCATAACCGAAAACCCATTTGGAAAGTTCTGAGTCGGGAAGTAACAATGATCTTCGATGGTACTACAGAAGAAACAAATTTGGAACTGGAGACCGAAATTAGAGAACCGAGCAACTAGATCCTATGGCGGAAGACACACTAGCTGAATCGTCGAGTACTGTCACACTAGTGAAAAAGAACATATGCTTCGAAAGTATGGACCAAGAGGAGGGTGTCTTTCGGGTATCTAAAGCCTGGGCAGACTGACTCTTCTAGGTTGCTGGCTAGAAGTAAGAGAGAGACCAATAAAGAATCCAGAAAAAAAGGAAGTCCAACTGGGGTATCGGGGTTGTTGGGAACCCGTACAAGGGCAGGGGATATATGGGTAACACCCTAGTACTAACCTAGGTTTAAAGGCATAATATCTCTGAAATCTAATCTGAAAACGTGTAGAACGTGGAAAGAATTAGGAGGGCATCTACTATGCCTGTCCTTGGGTAATACCAGAAGATTAATTTCGATGGATTAGCCTAATGAAGATAAAGCTAGTAGGGGAATGTCGATCTGGGTGGTCCCTATTTGGATATTAACTAGGTAGGTTGTAGCACAAGAATATAGCTTGTAGATATATAATAGGGTAGTGCAGAACTAGAGTGCTAGAGGATTTAAATAGGTAATCTTCTAGTTGGGTTACAGGTACGGCAGCTAGTATAAAACCTATGGCAAACTACTTAAATAGACACTCAAAAGGTGCACGTGTGGCTAGTTGTACTTTTACATGCTAAAAATGTACTACTATACATAGTATATGTAATAGTTACTTTAGTAATAATATTTACACCTAATAAAGTTGGCTATGATGGTATTTGGTGAAATAAAAAAAAAAAAAAAAAGAATTTATATAGTAAATTTTTTTTACTATCATTTATAATAAGGCTATACAAAGTTAATTTTTTGGTTCTCATAACATGGGACAAAAAAAATAACCTGCCCGCCCAAACTTTTATTTAAAAATTTTATATATAAAAAATTTTAAATTTTATAAAATTTTTTAAAAAATTTTTTTGAAATCCCACCTGCCTATTAAAATATATGAAGTTTAATATGCTTCGCACCCATGCGGTAAGGTTATATATTGCACCTTAATATGATTGACTAATTTTGCAGATCATTATTTATAAAAAAATAAACAAATTTTGATTAATTTTCTTTAGATTAAAACTAACTTATAA